TATTGAATGTTCCATAGAATATCCCATAGAACATCCCATAGAATGTGTTCCAAAATCGTTTAGAATATGCCATAGAATATCCTATAGAATATTTCAATGTAATATTCTATAGAATATTTTCGTAAGGGATATATCCTAAGATACTGTATGATATCCTAAGATATTGATATCCTAAGATTTTGATATCCTAAGATACTGATATCCTAAGATGTTGATATCCTAAGATACTGATATCCTAAGATACCGATATCCTAAGATACTGATATCCTAAGATATTGATATCCTAAGATACTGATATCCTAAGATACTGATATCCTAAGATAGTGATATCCTAAGATATTGATATCCTAAGATACTGATATCCTAAGATATTGATATCCTAAGATATTGATATCCTAAGATACTCATGATATCCTAAGATACTGATATCCTAAGATACTGATATCCTAAGATACTGATATCCTGAGATATTGATATCCTAAGATACTGATATCCTAAGATACTGATATCCTAAGATACTGATATCCTAAGATATTGATATCCTAAGATACTGATATCCTAAGATATTGATATCCTACGATACTGATATCCCAAGATATTGATATCCTAAGATACTGATATCCTAAGATACTGATATCCTAAGATATTGATATCCTAAGATATTGATATCCTAAGATACTGATATCCTGAGATATTGATATCCTAAGATACTATTTTCGTTAATATATAAATATGTTATTTCCAACTAGATCTTCATTCCGTCGCTGACCGCCGAACAGAGATGACTAGCAGTTATATCAAACACAGACCGTTTGTGGAGCTCTTGTGTATTTCTCATCCAATTCAACAGCAAGCTTTGTTGAATTCTGCATCTCATGAACAGATTCGCTTTCTATGTAATTGCTTGGAAAACTTTACATATCCTAAAGGAACATTAAACAAACTTGGACCATTCAAAGACGATCTTGCTGACTTAGCGGACAGAAGCAGGAGCTTTAAAAAGAAAAGGAAAATTCTTGTCCAGCGCGGGAGTGGTTTTCTAGGATTGGTACTTGCGCCACTTTTAAAGAGCCTTGCAGAATTAGTATAAAATAATCATTATCAATTCACATTGTCATTCCAACCATGGACAGCAAGGAAAGATCATCTCCGAGACATTGGCGTGTTGAAGATATACTTGGACACTTAAACGATAATGTTGATAAAAACAATGCGGAAGAACTTCTTCACTGCATTCTCACATCCACGGATATTCTCACATGGAATCTTCAAGGGGAAATTGTATATAAAGGACAGAATATACGTGGAACAAATATTGTAGATCTTGTGCAATATACTGTTTTACCATATAATACTGAAATTCCGGAACCAGCTGGACTGAATATATTTCTCAAAGGTCTTGCAAAATTGGAAATTGATAAAAGCCTCATCGTAAATGGGCGTGTCCTTACAATGCTAGCACACAAGTGGTCCTACCAGAATAGACAATCTGACAAATCCGAGGATGAGTCTGAAGACATGGACACAGTTTGTAACGGTTGTAACAAAGATTTAGACATCTCCCATTTGGCCACATGTCCTATATGCACACGGACAGATTTTTATCCAAATTGTAAGAGGTGTCACTGTTCGATCTGTGATTTTCAACTGTCCGAAGGAAATTTCACGCACGTAATCGCCTGTTGCCGGCATTGTCATTGTGATGAAATTGTGGATATTAGTACGGATAAAAGACATTTTTACCATAAAATAGGCGAACAAAGTGATATTTGATCAGTAGACTGTGTGAATTTGAACTGAACACATCAACATGGTGAGAGGTACGCTTGTTGTAGACACAAAACTACTGAAAGACCATTTCTTGAGACAGTAACGTGGTGGGAATATCGCTGGGTTTCGTGGTGCACGTATGCAAAGGGGTTATGGGATCGGAAGTATTTTCAAGAGCATTGCAAGATATGCTATCCCTCTATTGAAACAAGGTGCTAAAGTTGCTGGAAAAAGAGCATTACAAGCAGCCACAGAAGTTGGTCAAGATGTACTCCAAGGAAAAAATGTACGAGAATCTGTAAAGGCTCACAGAGGGAAAATTGTTAAAGACTTTGTTGAGCAAGGAGCAAGGACTCTTCTGCGTCAGACAGGACATGGAAGCAAAAGACGGCGAAGACAACGCAGCAATTTATCATCAGTCAAGAAGAAAAAACTGGAAGCTCCAAGACCTACCAAATGGATTGCCAAAGATGAAAGCGACTTCGACGATGAAAGCAGCCACGATGATGAATCTGAACGCGAAACATCTCAAACAAGTGACGATTAAAAGCATAAAAATAACAAAAACACCTAGACGTTACGCTCTTAGAAGTAGACCTTACTAAATTTTGTAAAACTTTTTAAAGAAATAAATCTATTTTAAAACTGAAATCTTTGTAAATTTTTGCCCGCAAAGCCCGCTCTTTCCCTCCCGCGCGACCCGCCCGCCTGAGTACAATTATGTTGTACATTAATATATGCATGCACCCACAAAGCCACGCGCGTGATTTTAAGGTATACACCGGCGTTAAAAATAATCCCTATCTATCCATCGGAATACACTTAGTTATGCAAATTCGTATTACCTTAATCCCCTTAATTACCTACACGCCTCCTAATGAGTTAGCAACGCATAACAAAGCAGCAAAGTTTAAAACATGTTTCTTGATACAAATAATAGAGAAAAAATATTACAACTAAGACTGTTAAATTGTTCTACAGGTTTTTTCCTTCAAGTATTCTATCTGACTCGGTCATCTTGACCGTATATATGTATGTAGGTTTGCTAAATAATGTTGAACAACATTCAAATAGCGATCATAACAACGGCTTTGACAACCCGGGATTAGCAACTGCTTATTTCGGTTGCGATATTTTTTATTTCTGTTTGGAAACTTATTGCTCAAAACGAGCCATCAAAATTAAAACGAATTTCAATTGCGTGTTGCAAATAAGAGAGAGACTCACAACGTTGCTACATGGTTGTAAGGCAAAAATTTTTCTACCGTACCGGGTTCGAACCGGTGACCTAAGGAATACTGATTTGGTAATAACTACAGTCCTTTGCTCTACCAACTGAGCTAACGGTAGGTTTTAAAAAACTAACTTCTATTTCATACTTTTATACATGCAAACTATGAGAAACCTCTTGTCGTTTTATTGCAAATTTGTCAGAAACTAGTTGTGATGCTAATCGATCGCCTGCCACATTTGGCCCAGGCCTGCCCGCGTTAATTGGTCGCGCTACCTGTCACAGTTGGCCCAGACTTGCCCGCGTTAATTGGTCGCGCTACCTGTCACAGTTGGCCCAGGGTTAGGGTTAGGGCCAGCAAAGTTGCGTCACATATCTTGCATACTAATTACTTCCGACACCTAAGTTTGCATACTAATTACTTCCGTCCCCAGAGTGGGGGGCTTTACTACTCACATTCAGCTCCCAGACGCACTCTGACACCTTGACAACTAAAATTATCTGGTGTTAAACAAAGTAAAAGAATAAAGTCAGACACATTTGGGCACATTGTCAGTCAATCGGTCAAATACTATAAATACTGTACCTGATGGTTTGACATTATCACAGTAAAGAAATCCCATTTCGACATTTTTACTTCGGTTTTTGTTGAACATGTTTTTACACTGAACAACAGTTTCCACGTCGCCAATCAGGACCAAGTTGTAGGTATGCCTGACTCCAAAGTTGGTCCTTTCAACAAGGCATACAACCTTTTGTAGAAGGTTAGACAACTTCTATAACATTAGAAATAAAGTTCATTCAGTAAGTAAAAAAAAACTTCGAAATATTTGAAATCGTCTTAAATTGTCTCCCAACCATGCACCAATAGCATGAAAACAGTTTCATGTATCCACCATCCCTATTCAAAGCATGATTACTCATATTTATATGCCACGCTTTTTAGGCAGTCTTTGACGATAGCGATTGTCATGTGTGTGGTAATTATTGAGAGTTTTCCCACGCAAGAAGCCACAATTGCTATTTTAGATCACCCTTGATGAAGACACTAGACTGGAGTGTCCAAACGTTGGGTCTTGATTACAATTCGACTGGGCTTTGTAATAATTTATTTAAACCAGAGTAGGGAGCAAAACATGAAAACTTAGTAAGTTTATTACCTCAATATCATTTCCATAGATATCTTCCAAAACATAAAGCGCCATTGCATAGCCAGGACTGTCTCTTTGACAACATTCATTTTGCTCAGCATTCAAACGATCTTGGGTGCATCTGACAATGATTCCTTGGTGGTTCTCTTCGGTCTTAAATACGTTTGGAGACAAAATTGTATCATCGTCATTGCTGCCCTCCAATTTCTTCAAGAGTTCCTGGAGATAACTCTTAAACACACAGTGTGTAGCATCTTTTCCCTGAAAGTATAAAATATTTGTATTATAAATATGAAAACTGCTTTACTTAATTACCCCTTTAACAATGCCTAAAAAATTGTAAACATATATAATTCAGTTAGTACAATAATTGAGCAACGTGAAATATCATCACTAGTGTACTATGGTTTGTACAACTTACAGCAAAACGAAGTAACTGTTCTGCTTTTGTGCACTCTGGAAGTTCTTTTGCAATAATCTCCCATGGTTTTCCAATGAAAGAAGAGATTATCCCTTGGATAGGTCTAATTGCTTTAAGCTCTTTAGCCAACACTTTCAGCTCATCAAGACTAATGTCTCCCTTCGCAAACTTGAAAACAATTGTAATTATTATAAACAATGTCTCTTTATATTACAAATCACCAGTTCATCCCTTATTATGTAATGAAATACTGTATCCATGTCAACAACTGCTGCATAGATACCAATACTATATTAAGGGTTGTTTATATGGTCCGCTGAGGCAACTTTGTCATGCATTTTGATGAAAAAGTTGCCAAAAACAAATCTCTGGGTTCGACTGCAAATGCTTTCCAGAACACCTAGTATACTATTAATATTAACCTTGTTTAACAGCTCAATTCTGTCGACATTATCCAGACCATGAAGACATCTAACATAGGCAGGTCTGAAAGTAGGCTTTCCTCTCAGATCTTTAGGAAGGGCCCGTTGATCTTTCAACCTCCCTTTCTCATACTGACTACATATACTCTTAAAAAGCTGGTAACCATTCTCTGGCAACGCTGCCACACTGTATATCTCTGTCATTGCCTTTCTCTGCAAAAGTAATTGCATAATACCATAAAAATGTGATTAAAAGGCAATTAGTTATACATGCAGGCCTACTGTGTAGACATGGGTGTTGTACAAAAAATTAGGTTGACAAACACTTAGTTATATTTAGTGTTGTACTCTGGCATCAACAATATACATACTGTAGTGTATGTATGGTATAGTGATTGTATTTATAAATAATTTACATCACATGTACTTTCTTTTACAAACTAAACACTTTCTTCCCTAATATAAGGGCACATCTATCTCTCCATGCTGCGCTTGGTAACATGGTACCACCACTAGCTTTTGAACCATGAATTTGAAGCTGCTGATGTGCCAAATCAACCTGGAAAACAAGTGCACAAAAACAAATTAAGTAAGTAATAATAATATAACTTGTCTCTGCTATAGGTAGCCACGCCAGAACTTGGGGCAAGTGATTAATACCCTGGTTCTTATTGTGCATTCCGAATACAACTACCGGTATGCACCAGTGAACTCTATTTACTATTTAGACTGGAACAATAACTTGGCTGCCATCTTTGAAGCCGAATTGATGTACAGTACCAGTCTCTTTATGTTGTTAATATACCCCAGTGGCCATTGTCTGATGACAAGTGAACTTTATATTCTGATGGTTAGATTAGTCTCTGACATGTTTATTACTGTTAATAAAAATAAGGGGAGTTAGCCATTCCATGCTAATTGCAATATCCACCTACAAGGTATTACACATTTTAAATGTAGTCACCTCTTCTTGGAAAGACATTTCGTGACGGAATGCCCCAGTTTTGTTATGTCTTGAGGCAACCCATAGTGCTTGTTCATCGGTGAGTCCCACAAACAGCCACGCATATCTTCCACTATATGCTTCGTTGTCAGGATACTTTGCATGCAGAGCTTTTGTTGCTAAAACATTATGGGTGCCTCCAAGCACCTCATATTGGTACACACTTGCATTGTTATGATCAAAATCAGTTTTTGTGTTCAAAGCTTTAACATTTAGGAATACAGGCTCATAAGCTCCATTGCAGTTTTCTTCCATATTTGTTTGAAGGCGAGATAAAAATAATTCATCAACTTCACGCAGCATGCGGTGTTTAGATGTAGGCAGTTCAATGTTGCTCACTGGGATGTAAAACTGTCCATCTAAATAAATTATATTAATTCTAGTAATAAGATATTAACCCATTGAATGGCCGAGCTACCCCCCTTGAGGAGAAACATTGTCTGGCATTAGGTAGAGAAAAATAATAAAGTGGGGCACATCGCCACTTAAATGGTTTTAAACAACACTGCAAAATATGCTGCTTAATTAATTATTGAGCTTTCATTATCTTTCTGTTATTTGTAATAATGTTACTATTGGCCACAGTATGTAAGCTGTGGCTGAGACCAAGTCAGAAAATTAGCCAATAATTTCTCTCCTCATATAATGTACTGATATTTCATGTAGTGAGTACTAGTGACTTACCAATGCGACAATTATTAACATGCAATTGTAAGTTTTCATCATTCTCTATAATCTTTGGGTTGGCACAGTGTCGTTTTGATGGCATTGTTCATTCTTCTAGGAGTTGTTCTGTAGCCTTTCGCTTTTCAGACTTCGGTGCTTGATCATCCTCGTTGACATCATCAGGTGCATCTGGAGTAATATCAGGTTCACCCGCTGTGTCACCTTGTTCCGCAGCAATAACTTGGACAGAATCTTTCTTTCGCTTTAAATCTGACAGACATTTGTTGCACTCTCCTGCCCAAGACTTCTCATCGACCATGCCAACAATGCAGTTGAAAGGGTCATCACTGGCTGACCAGTCAAATTTACTAATATTGACATGCAATTCAATAGTCTTGTCAGTGAATTCTTGTCTTGATGTCAGCTAAAGAATGTATAGATTAGGATGTTACAGCTAGTAGGCATAATTTATGCACTTTGGGCCATTCATGCATATATAAGCTCAATTTGACTTGTTCGCCGAGCCTGTGATCCTCAAGAAGGGACGTAAGGCTCTGGGATAATCCGTAGCCGGAAGCCAGGAATCCTGACACTGAAGAAGACAGAACTGTGCATTCCATATCAATGGCCAATCAGATCCTCCCTGAAACAGATTATCCCACAGCCTCACATTCCTTTCTAAGTATTGCATGCTCGGGCGAGATTCGTATGAGCTGGCTCAACAAGATCTCTTTGATATAATTTGTTTGTTAGCTCATTGACCCACAATGTATCCTACTTCTTTAGGGGTGCACCGTATATAGTATCCGGCCGGATAGTGACATAATCGTACTATCCGGTATCTGGGCGGATACTTACTAAATATTATCCGGCCGGATAATTTGTTTTTCATGAAGTGTACTAAATTTCCGCTAATTGAATTATAAAATATACTACAAAAATAAACCCCCCAAAAAGGAATTGTAAAAAGCGGGCTATACTGATATAATTGAGTGAATTAGCTATTCACAGCATTTGACACCAAAAGCCTTACTAAATCCCATCGTTCATCGTTTGGGAAACACAACGTGAAAGGTGAAAAAAATTAAAAACAGATTTTTAGTTAACCATAATTGATTATTTACTCAAAAATTAAAAAAAAATAGCATCGCCTTCTTCTTTGCACTAATATATCCATGGACGAGAAAAATTCTTATAAATATATATTGTATGTCAAGTATTCAAATTGATAAAATATCCGGCCGGATTTTTTTCAGATATCCAGCAAATCAGGTATCCGGCCGGATAGTACAAATCACTATCCGGTGCACCCTTCGTTTGACATGTCTAACACTTTTGTTACTGTACTGTATTGTTAGTATTTGTTACTCCGGCATAATATGCGGTTGCTGGCTTCCTGGAAATTACAAATTTAATACTTCTAGCTCAACAGCTTAATTTCTGGGGGGGGGGGG